TGAAGGTTCATTCTAAGGACAAACAGAGGAAGGACCAGAACACCTTCAAAGTCACTGAAATAATACAGACAAGTAAGTTATGGAAATTTATTAGAATCTAACACACTACTTAGTAACACACACAAATACAGGTAATGCATCACATCTTAAGATATGAACAGAGAAGTGTATCTGCTTTAGAAGCAAAAACAGACAATAAATGCCATAAGTATTCTAGCAGTAACATGATAAATGGTAAAAGACACCACATAAATGAAACTATCAGAAACAAAACTGCCTTTCAATAACTTAATTTTTCTGTCTCAAATAATCACTTTTTCTAACTCAGTACTTCTGAGAAAGTTAAATTAGTTCAGACACTCAAGAGCCTACAAAGACATTCTATCATTTCTGTTATGATTTAAGTTAAATGGAAGAAAACACACAGATGTCAAAAGAATTCAAAGCGAAACAAACTAAAAAGCAGAATGGGAAGAAAGTGAAATGGAGCAAAGCAAGTGCCTCTTACAAGGCCCAAGAATGACATTCAGGGGCCTTTGGACATAGTCACAGCTTGCTACCTGCCTCTTACAGGCCAGACACAACACTGCTGGCCTTGGACTAGGCAGCAAGCCTATTGCAGCCAGGATATACCATACCATCATGCTGCACCACCCCTGTATCAATGTTTTAAAAAAAGGAGGGTGTGAGGAGTCTTTCAAAAAAATATATCCCACCAGGTAAATATTTCAGATAGCTTATATAAAAATCTACTGACAAGGGGTTTTGAAACAACCGCCCAATTTGTTTTCTGTACCACATTAGATGCTATTAAGAACAGAGGTCTGTAGCCTTCTGTTATTTAGCTTACAACTGCTTTTTGTGTATTGGACCCCAGGGCCAACTTAAGTAATGTTTTCTTAGGAAGGAGCTGAAGTTGCTGTTGGCTGCCTCACCGCTCATTTAGAGACATCTTGGTGGTGCTTTTTAGCACAACTTTCGGCGCTGATTGTGCAGCCATCTTCAAATCCCGAGAATCTACAAAGGACAATATGCATAATGAGTAAAGCAAATCCGAATCATCAAGATTGCATTTTCTTTCCTTTTTTTGAGACCCATTCCTCTGTGTAGACCTGGCTGGCCTGGAACTCAAATCTGCCTCAGGGTGCTGGGATTAAAGACTTGTACCACAATTACCAGCTGAAGATTGCATTTTCACATGAAGCAAAGCATAAACCAATAAAAGGCCTATCTTACAAATTGCTGACCATATTAAAGTTCATTTTAAAAATGTTTATATCACTGGGCGTTGGTAGTGCACGCCTTTAATCCCAGCACTTGGTAGGCAGAAGCAGGCAGATCTCTGTGAGTTTGAGGTCAGCTTGCTCTATAAGCGCTAGTTCCAGGACAGCCTCCAAACCAAAGGCACAGAGAAACCCTTTCTTGAAAGAAAAAGAATGTTTATATCACAGTTATCTCTATTAAAATGTCAGAGCCCCAGTCTGGAGAATGTTTGCTAAGGTCTCCAAAATGATAGAATCAGATGTAGGCAAAGCCTAGGGAGTTTTCAATCTAGAACAGTCCTTTCAACCTAGACTGATTTAGCCAAGGAATGTTAAATTTTACCTTGATGTCTGGACCCAGAGCAATTAAACTACAATATGGCCACGAAGATTGGGGAACAGCAACTGGGGTTAGGGCTGCTACCTAGGTGAATCTTGGATGTCTACAGAAAATTGAAAGCCATGGATCAGGAGAAATACAGGAGCTGGGGATAGAGCTCAGTGATAGAGTAATTATTTAGCACTAATGAAGCCCTAGGTTCTCCTGCTACAAAATGGTATAACAGACTGAGGCCATGGCATGTTACTCCCCCCTTTCCTCCCCCCCATCACACATCAAATGAAAGAAATGCCTAGTTTCAAAATCGATACTCAACTCCAAATCCAAGTGGAGTTCTAGTAAGATATGGCAGGGTAAAAGCAGAACAGGTTTTCCAAATGGGTATTCTGAGAGTTCTCTCAAGAGCACTCCAAAAAAATTTAACCGTAGCCAGACTTGATGGCACAAGATCAAGGCGAGCCTAGGTTACCTGCGAGGTTCTGTCTCAAGCTTTAAAAAAAAAAAAAAAAATTGGGGATGTTAACTCGGAGCGCTTGTCTAGCCACATCAGCATTCTGGGTTCAATTTCGGTGTCGTGAAAACAAGTACCTAGAGCTGCCGCTATATTCTGTAGCGTTTATTCATTTAACTTTCCAGCCCATCCTCAAAGCCTCAAGACCCCCACCACTTCGGTCGGCTGCTTATTTCCGTTGCTGTCCCCATCAAACACCACTCTGGGGGGTGCTGGGGCTCGAGTGTAGGGCACTTGCTTGTTCAAGGCACCAGATTCAAGGCCCAGTAGCGAAAAGCCCAGACCAAACCACCACACGCACAAGCCACCCCAAACCAGCACCAACAACCCCGCCGGCTCGCTTGCTGGCCGCGGTTCCGGTCCAGCCCCCGCCTCCCGGCTCCGCCCCCTCCCCGGCCTACGCGCACCTCAGGTCCATCCACACCTGCTGCCCGCGCCGCCCTGCCCCCTGCCCCCACGGCGCCCCGCCTCCGCTTTCACCGCAGAAACTCACCGAAGGAGACGGACGCCAGCGCTCCTCCCGGGGCTGCCACCACGGCTGCGGCGGGCGGGCCGGTGGCCGGCCGAACCTGAGCTGACGGGGGACCGCTCGGGTTAACTAGCTGGGCGGTTGGGTTAGATGCTTAAACGGTATGATGCGAAGCTCACTCGTTGTGGGCTGGGGTGTCTAGCCCGCCGATCCTCCCGCTCGTCAGGCCTGCCCTTTCCTGCCTTTCGTCTGTGCCACCACAGCCGGCGCGCCAACTCCCGCTTGGTGTCCAAAACAAAATGGCTGCCGGGCCCACCAGTGCAGCGTGACCGGCTAAAATGGCGCCGGTGAACTTGCGTCATTGCGCGCGCAACTCGGGGCGTGGCAAGTGGGTGCTTTGGCCGGCGCAGGAATCGCGGGCGGATCCGCAGGGACTTTGCCAAGGTCCCTTCAGTTAGGTGTAGTGCTCCGCATTGGGGCGCGGCCAGTGGCCTTAATCGCTCGGGTACTTTCTAGACTAACTAATGGACGAGTTTATGCCCCATTTTGAGAGGGTTTTCTGGTTTGCCAAGAGCGGCTTAGGTTTCATTGAAAGCAATGTTTGCATTCTGTTATTCCCTCATCACTAAGCCTAAGACAACTCTAACATGTTTTTATTTGGACCTCGGAGCCTGCCTGGGGTGATTTGCTCTGGCCTTATCCCTATTTGCAGTGTATGGGTTTTTCTCTTCTTTCTTTTTCTTTTCCTCCACTTCTTTTTTCTTTTTCTTTCTTTCTTTCTTTCTTTCTTTCTTTCTTTCCTTCTTTCTTTCTTTCTTTTTTTTTTGTCTGTTTTTTCGAAACAGAATTTCTCTGTGTTGACCAGGCTGTCTTTGAACTCACAAAGATCCACCTGCCTTTGCCTCCAGAGTGCTAGAATTTTTTTTTTTTTTTTTTCTAAGACATGGTTTCTCTGTAGCTTTGGAGCCTGTACTAGAACCCATCTATAGACCAGGTTAGCCTCGAACTCACAGAGATCCACCTGTTTCTGCCTCCTGAGTGGCACTAAAGGCATGCGCCACCACCACCCAGCTATGAGTGCTAGGATTAAAGAGTGCCACCACTGCCCAGCAGATGGCTTTTTGTTTGGTTTTGTTTTTTGAGACAGTTTCTTCGTATAGTCTTGGCTGTCCTGGAACTAGCTCTCTCTGTAAACCAAGCTGACCTCAAACAGATCCTCCTGTCTCTGCCTTCCGAGTGCTAGGATTATTGGTGTGCATCACTATGTCCAGGACTCCCGTGTCCTTTTATGTGGGCTGCCACTAGAAGATGTGGCTAGTTTTAGGGTGGGTCTTCTTACCTCAGTTAATCCAATAAAGCATATAAATCACAGGGGTGCTCAGCCCCTTAGGTTTTAGCTGATTCCAGATGTAGTTAGGTTGACAACTAGGATTAGCCGTTACACAGGATGTCTTACTATGGAGCCCTGGTTGGTCTTGAACTTTCAGAGATACTCCTTCTTGCCTCTGCTGCTGCCTCTGTCAGAGGGCTGGAATGAAAGACATACCTCACTATGCCTAGTTAGACCCCCCCCTCTCTCTCTCACATACACACACACACACACACACACACACACTATGCTGGGTGTTGAACTTGTTGAGCTAAATCCTCCCTCCCCCCACCCAGTCCCTGTGCTCAGAACTGCAAATGGCTCTAAAACCTGACTTTGATGTGTTTTCTGTTTTTCTTTCTTTTTTTTTTTAACTTGTTTCTTTTGTTTTGTATGCTGTCTCCTCTTCCTCCCTCCCCCCCCCCTTCAGTAAGGGATCCTCTGTGTAGCCCTGACCGTCTTGAAATAAACTCTTTGTACCAGGCTAGCCTTGAATTTACAGAGATCTGCCTGCCTCTGCCTCCTTAGTCCTGGGATTAAAGGCGTGGCCACCACCACCTTGCCTTTTCTTCAGCTCCCCCCCCCCCTCCCAGGATAGGGTCTCTCTGCAGCTTTGGAGGCTGTCCTGGAACTAGCTCTTGTAGACCAGGCTGGTCTTGAACTCACGAGATCTGCCTGCCTCTGACTCCTGAGTGCTGGGATCAAAGGCATGCCCTACCACTGCCCTGCAATTTTTTCAGTTTTTTTGATGGCTTACTTGTTTTTGTTTTTTTGGAGACAGGATCTGGCTATGTGGTATGGGCCGGCTTGGAACTCAAAATCTTCCTGCTTCTTCCTTTAAGTGGTGGGATTACCAATTAACTTATACAAGTCCCTGAGAAGCCAGTGGCACTTCAATTTCAGTTAAAACTTTGGACACCTACATTTTTGGGTGTTGAGTGTTCCTTAAATAAGATCTAATGCACATAAACTCTCCGAGACAAGGAGTGTCAGGAGTGAGCACCCCTTACGTCACACATATCCAGACCCAGAGGAAACAGACATTGACAGTTGGTGAGGGAAACCTTTATTAGATTGAATGGCAGACCTGGACTGCCACTCTTGTGCCCTTGATAGGAGGTTGAGCAAGGATGGGGACAGGAGGTGTAGGTGGGATAAGGATAAAGGGGAAGTCTGGTAAGGTCAAGTGGAAGGGCGCTGTGGGTTAGGGCCATGTGCTCAACTGTTCTCCCAGAAGAAGTTGTTACAAGCCACTGTGAGAGCAGCCACCAGCACGACATACTCCTGGAAGTCCACCTCCCCATCTCCATTTTCATCCAGTTCCTTCATTACCTTGTCCACAGCATCTGCATCCTTCTGGACCTGTGGAAGAAGATGGAAATTTATATCGCTGTTAGAGCCTACACAGTGGTTGAGGAGGCAGAAACGAGCAAGTTAGAGAATAATATTTATGGGAGTCCTCTACAGCACTAAAGACTGGTGAGCTCCTTTTGGGTGCAGAACCTAGCAGAGTTAATGCTAACATCAGTTGTCATACATGATTGTCTACAATGTGACAAGTGCTACAATGTGACAAGAGCTAGGAACCTGACAGACTTTTTTTTTTTTTTTTTTTTTAATAAAAAGAAAACACACACAGAGCCAGGAGGTGGTGGCAATGCCTTTAATCCCAGCACTTGGCAGGCAGAGGCAGGCAGGTCTCAGGGAGTTTGACACCAGCCTGGTCTACAGAGTGAATTCCAGGACAGCCAGTGCTACACAGAGCAACCCTGTCTTGGATGATTTTAGGGCACAGCGGCAGATGTCTTTAACCCCAGCACACAGTGCAGAAAGAAGCTGATGGATCTATTTGAGTTTAGGGTTCTTGCCAGCTGGAGCTTCACAGCCAGAGCTAAACAGTGAGATCCTGTCTCAAAAACAACAAAACAATCCTCCTCTCCAGCCAGGTTTTGCCACTTGACCCAGGCTGGCCTGACCTGGAACCTGAGGTCTTCCCTCAGTCTGCCTTGTTAGTGCCAGTATCACAGATATGTGCTACCAAGCCAGTCTTTAAAGCAAATAATGTGGGAGGCATTTCCACTGCTAACATAGAGAAGAAACAAGCTGACAGTTGGGTTATGAACAAAAGTTATGCAGCAACAAAACAGCAGGGCCACAGCTTCAGGGAAGCCTAACAAAGCTGATAGTTTGTATGTGGCGGCATCTGTTTCCTGCTTCTCTGCATCCTCCAGCCAAAGGAAGCCACTGAGCATACTTCTCATCCTTCCTCCCATGCTTCTTTTCATGTGGACACCTCCTACAATGTCTTAATTTACCTACAATCTTCCAGTGGAAACCTAAGGCTCAAGTGCCACCTCCGTAGAGAAAGAAGCTATGTGACTCCAGAGTACTTATCTCCACAATTCTAAGGCTCTGTATTTCTTTGAGTTCATGGCTTTGCTTTTTTGGGTTTTTTTGAGACAGTGTTCCTCTGTTTAGCTCTGGCTGTCCTGAAACTCTGTAGACTAGGCTAGCCTCAAACTCACAGAGACCTACCTGCCTCTGCCTCTTGAATGCTGGGATTAAAGGCGTGCCATGACTCCTTCAATGCTGTGGATAGTGCTATTGATAAATCTTCAGAGCCTAGCATTGACAGGTGGTCAGTAAACTAGGGCACTTTGACTAGGGCATTAAGGAAGCCTGGAAAAACGTAGTTAAGAGTGGAGGAGGATCCAGGGCAGCTAGGGCTGTTACACAGAGAAACCCTGTCTTGAAAAACAAAAACAAAAGAATGGCAGAGGAAGATGGCTAGACTGAGCTCCAGGTGAGGTGGGGATATAGCAGGGGCGCCCATCCCCTTCCTCCACCCTGCACCTCAACCCTTTGCTCACATCCAGAAAGCCGGAGAGTTCAGTTTGTAGCAGGTCTTTCAGCTCCTTCTTGCTCAGCTTATATTTGTCCCCCTCCTTGCCCGAATGGGCATGGAACACGTTGATGAGGGTCTCCATGGCAGTCTCCAGCTCAGAGCCCATTTCAGCAGCACACCTACCCACCCACACAATGAAGGAAGTAAATTGTAAACCAGGTTCAGGGGTCTGGGTAAGGGGAATCCTCAGACTTGATCCTCGTTTCATAGCTCAAATAGCTATAAGATGCCCCCCCCCACCCCCTTGTACTTTGTCTTTCATGAGATTTTGCAATGTAGGAGAAACCCTAGCATACTTAAATCCAGTCCAGCATTCTAGGTCTCTCCAGAGGGAGTCAGGGATGGGCATGGAAATTGAGCAATAGGAACTGGACGGTCTTAAGCCTGCCACAGACATCTGCAGTGGCTGACTCCTAGCCGCCTGGGCAGAGACAGGGTTGGGTGGGGCAGGCATGGGTGGACCAGGCAGCCTTCTAGCTCTATTTTTACTTTCTAGGCCTGTCACAGTCAAACTTCGCTCTTAGTAGTAAGTGAGCTGAGGTCTCCACTGCCCACCCCAGGAAGAAGTCTGGTACCTTTGGTGAGCTGATGTGGGGTAGGCAGTCAGAGTGGGAGACCCAAGAGTTGTTGGGGAGGGGCGTCTCACTGTTTTGGTGGTTCCTGTCAGCAGTGTGGCTCTTCCTCTTTAAGCATTGAGGGTTAAGCCCAGGCCATCTTTTTGTGCTTGGAATTTATTTATTTATAACGGGGTCACATTCTATAGCCTATGCTCTCCTGGAACTAGCTCAGGCTGGCCCTCAACTTGTGGGCAGTCTTGTCTGTCTCCATGTGCTGGAGTTACTGGTCTGAGCTACCATGTCTGGCTCCCCTCTCTCCTCAGTATGTCATTTTAGCTTCTCTGGGATATGCTTCCCATTATCTCCTGTTCTCACCTCCTTTGCAAAAACCACCCCTGTCCATCAGGTAGGCAGAAGGAAGGGAGAGGGAAATGTCTGAGGTTTTTCCTTGGAGACAGCTTCTAACAAGGGAGCTAACCTGAAGGCATTGTCCCTGATGCTGTCCATTCCTGCCTCAGGCCAGCTCTGTTTCTGTGACTACACTGGGAGCAGAATAGGGCTGGTTTGGGTTAGATAAAGGACTGAGTGCATTGGGTCATCGGAGCTCAAGGGGCTGGGCAAGAGTGCAGAATGGGGCCGTCCATTGAGAAGGGACTGCATGCAAGGGGGCCTCAGCCCTTTGGCTCCAGGAGGGTCATGCTTTCCATAGTCTCAGGGACAGCAGCTCAGGTGTCTCAGCTCAGGTGTCCTCATCCTTCCTCACCACTGGGGATACTGGACAATAGGTCCCGATTAGATGACATCCCAGCACTTCAATGGAGCTCTTGTGACTGTCACCTGAACTCTAGTCACAAGAAGCAGTTGTCACAGAGACAGGGGGAGATAGAACCTAAGCCCTGCTGATGAAAGGGATAAAAGGGTGCTCAAGAGAGGAATTTGGGTGGCTCAGTTACCATCCTCATTTATGAGGGGCACCTGGAGGTTTGCCTGGAGCCCTCCAGCAGCTCGGAATTGAAGGGGAGGTCTGAGGGGTGCAACGGTGGGAAAACAAAGAAGAAAAAAAATTGGGTAGAGAGAAGGGGCGGGGGCTGGGGGGGGTTCAGGACTGAAAGAAAGGGATAAGCAGGGGTTCTTGTGAAGGCAGAGATAGGACAGGGCACAGTGCCACAGGCTTCCTTCTTTATGATATCACATGGCCTATGAGCTGCTGCTCCTAAACTGACCTGGGATCTGGTGCTTGGCAAGGCTGGAGAGGGGGCAGGAACAGCTTTTCTAATTCTTACCCTAACGGAGCAGGACTATCTCTCCTCCTTTTGGACACCTACAGACTGGGGTATCTGGCAGGAGATGCAGGGTTCTGTGTAGGAAGGTCTGGTGGCCTGGAAGCTGGGTGGCATCCTTACTCACCAAGCTCTTAGATCTTTGACCTTCACCCACCTTCTCTCACTACTTTCCAAACTTTATCTCTCCTAGATCCCAAACTCCCTTTCCCTTGACTGATTTCCTCCCAGTCCCTCGCGGCACCACCGTATCCTTTTCCAGGGCTCTTGGGGTCTTCCCAAGACCCCCTTCCCTCCAGGCTGGCTAAGCCAGGGACCTATTCTAGTCAGGGTAAGGTACTCACGGTTGGCCTGGCCTGAAGTGGGAGCAGGATTCTCGACAGACAGGCAGGCTGCAAATGTGGCACCTGGAGCGATGTGGGGAGACCTGTCTTAAGCCGTCCTTCCTGAGCGACCCTCCTCCCCACCGGCTCCACCCCTTCACAAACGACACCGCGAAGGGCAAGGGGCCAGAAGTGGACAGAGGCGCCCTCTGTCTCCCCGGCGGGAACGGGCTGCCCTATGTTTCTTCCCATTGCAACTCCCCTAAGCCCAGTAGGAAGGAGGTGGAAGAGAAGTCCTGGGAAGGGGGTTGTGGTGCGGGCTGAGCAGGGGAAGGGGAGGATTCTGTCCAGGTGTGCTTTGTCTATGTGCCTCCGTGAGGGGCTTCTGTCTCGGAACTCAGTGAAGAATTTCAGTTGGGGTTCCATTATAGGGGCCTTAGCCTGGGGCTTTCCGAGTGCCCTTGGACTGAAGGGTCTTTTGCAGGGTCTCTGGTTTCTCAGACGGGGCTTTCCAGTTCTGAATTTCCCAAGTGTTTTTATTTTAATTTTTCCAAACAGCAGGAGCAGCTCTCTTGACAGACTCCTGATTATCTTCCATAATTGGGAGGGATGGGACCCTAAGGTCCCCCCTGAGGCTCTGTCCTGGTCGCGTGGCGCAGGGTTGGGATGGCTAATGACAGCAGGGGCGGTCCTCTCTTTTCCGAATCAGCGGAGGCGGAAACTTGACACTTCGGACTTGGGAGTGGCTCTCTCAGTCTCTGGTGCTTAAAAACTTCAGCCTTGAGGCTCTATCTCGGCTTGCTGCATCCATCCCATCTCCTTTCCTGGGTGAGTTACTCTCCCTGACTCTGCAGAGAGCCTGGAGACTTGCGTCTCTGGATCATCTCCCAGGTTCCTCTTTCCAAGCGGGTTCAGGCAGAGATTCAGGAAGTGGCTTTAGGAAAGCAGGCAAAGGTCCTTGCAGGAGCATGTGGGTGGGTGTACAGAAATGAGGGGGCGAGTAGGCATGTTTCTTCCTTTCCTGGAGCCCTGATGGCACTGGGTGTCCATGCCAAACGCCTTGTGGGCTGTGGGCTTGAGGAGTTTGAAGAGTCCCTTTCTGGACCTTGTCAACCATGGAGTGGGTAAGGTGGGTGGGGTCTGGTGCTGAGACCCCCTTAGAAGAGGCAGAGAAGATGGGTCTGGCCGGATTGAGCCAAACCTGACCTCAAATGGACCTTCACCTACCCTAGGCTTCTTTACTAGGAGAGACTCTGGTCTCAACATAAATAAGCACTGGAGACAAACAACTTCCTGACCCTAAGACGGGGGTGACAACAAGAAAGGACCATTAGAACAGAGACCCCACCCGGGATGTTACCATAGAAGACTCCAAAGAAAAACCCTCGGAGGTAGAGTGTTTGCCACATGGAGAGACCGATGCAGAGGCATCCCTAAGACAGGCACTTAAAAAGGACACACAGACATGAGAGTCAGAAAAATAATTTCTGGAAGTGAACCTCAACTGAAGAACTGTTGTTTATTTTGGACCCTTTTCTTCTGACCCTTTTAGGCAAGCCACCTTACCCATTTTGGATCCCTAACACTCTTGGTCTCTTCTGGTCAGGTCAGTCAGCGAGGACATCAGCCTCTACTTCGTGGTACTAATGGCAGCGGAGCCGCTGACCGAACTGGAGACAGCCATTGAGACTGTGGTCACCACTTTCTTCGATTTTGCAGGGCGGGAAGGACGAAAAGGCAGCCTAAACATCAATGAGTTTAAGGAACTGGTCACTGAGCAGTTGCCTCATCTGCTAAAGGTTGGTAGAGGTCTCTGGGACTGAGACTGTCTATGTATGCTGGTGATAGTGACATCTGTGTTTTCCGCAAGCGCGCGTGCGTGCGTGTGTGTGTGTGTGTGTGTGTGTGTGTGTGTGTGTGTGTGTATAAAACCTAGATGAGTAAAGATGCTTTGTTGGTGCAAATGGGAATGTATTATTGGGCTCTGTCCTGCTGTCAAACAATATTGTTGAGTACTTGAGTCTGTCTGTGTCTCTCTAGTCTCATTTTCTCAACATATTACTGGACCCAGGGTAGATTCCCAGAGATTTACAGATAGTAAGAACTAGAAGGAGGCTTAACAAAAATAAAAATACACCCAGTGTTGCCTGCCTGTACATCAGTAAACCTGGCACTCAGGAGGCTGAGCCAGAAGGATCAGGAATTTGAAGCCAGCATGGGGAGACCCTTTCTCACCAAGCACCACCTAAAGTCACAGTGACCTATACTCTTAGTGTGCCCAGGTTTGTGAAGAGCATTTGTGATTACTTCCCACTACCTATGAGCATCCCCTCAGTAAGGGAGCTCATTCTACAGATGTGATTGGGGGTTCTAATTGACTCTGAGCCTGTATGCTATTCTAGTCTGTTAACCATTTATTTTAATCCTTTATGAAAATTCATAGCCACATTAGAGTGTGTGAATATGGCCGGGCGTGGTAGCTCATACCTTTAGTCCTTGCACTTGGAAGGAAGAGGTAGTCGGATATCTGAGTTTGAAGCCAGCCTGGTCTACAGATGGAGTTCAAGAACAGCCATGGCTACACGGAGAAACCCTATCTCAAACACCAACAACAAAAAAGAGTGTGTGAATATGGATTTTTTTTTCTTTTTCTTTTAGGTAGTGTCTCACTGTATAGTCCTGGCTGACCTGGAACTTGTTATGTAGTCCAGGCTGGCCTAGCCTGCCTCAGCTTTTCGAGTTCTGGGATTCTGCTACCATGCCCAGCTCTTGTTTCTTGTTTTTTTTTTTTTTTTTTAAAGACAGCCTCATGTAGCTAAGGGTGTTGTCAAAGTCCCGATTCTCCTGTCTCTACTTCACAAGTGCTGAAATTATAGGTGCGTTCCATCAGTCCCAATATGAGTATGGATTGACATTTTGTTCCATTTTCACTTTATGTGTATGGGTGTTTTGCCTGCATGTATGTCTGTGTGCTTGGTACCCACAGAAACCAGAAGAGAGCATCATCAGGTCATCTGAAACTGGAGTTACAGGTGGTTGTGAACTGCCATGTGGGTTCTGGGAACTGAAATAGAGACCTGCTGGGTGTAGTGGCACTCACCTTTAATCCTAGCACTCAGAGGCAGGCAGATTTCTGAGTTCAAGGTCAGTCTGGTCTATAGCACAAGTTCCACAAACAACAGGGATACCCAGAGAAACCCTAACCAAAACAAAACAAGATGAATTCCTTATATCTCTCTTCTAAAGATCTGTCATGTTACACCTCATTGTTCTGTTCATCAGTCCATATTTCAATAGCTGTCTCAGTATTTGATTTAACTGTATGTGTTTCATTAGCCAAAAATGTGCTAACCACCCAGCTCCTGGAGGCTTTCAAAACCTCCTCAAGCCTCCCTTTGCCTGATCACCCTGTTATTCAACTTCTTGTTTTTGTGTGTGTGTTTTTTAAACACATTTATTATTTTGTGTGCACATGCAGCACATATTCTGGTGCCTGCAGAGGTTAGAGAAGGGCATCAGATCCCCTGGGACTGAAATTACAGTGAGTGCTAGGATTATAGGAATGCACCACCTTTTGAAGCCACACATTTATTTGTGTGTGTGTGTTTCTTTTTTTCTTTTTGTTTTTTTCCAGACAGTGTTTCTTTGTGTAGCCCTGGCTGTCCTGGAGCTACTGTAGACCAGGCTGGCCTTGAACTCACAGAGATCCACCTGCTTCTGCCTCCTGAGTGCTGGGAATAAAGGTGTTCACCACCACCACCATGCGACTGCTCCAGTTTTCATTTCCATCCATCAACTTCATCTCCTCATGGTTCTTGTTGTTTAGTTCATGTTCTGAGATGAGTCATTATAATGCTTACAAACCCCTTGATTCTGTCTCTCTGTGTCAGTCAGGACCCCCTCAGACCTACATTTCTGCCTAAATCCACCACCTGTGTCTGCACTTGGAGAGCTAATCTACCTAGAGGAACACACAGCCAGGTTGACTTGTTTCACAAACTCCAAGTCTGTATTTCCCTTTGAATGGTTGGGACACAACTTTTCCTTCCTCAGATTCCAATACCTCTTTCCATATTCTCTTTGTCACTGAGAAATTAACTCCCTTGGAAAATAAGCAATCAAGGGGGGCTCCCTATCCCTAGATCTTTTACTGTGTCAGCATACACCGTGCCTTCCTTCCATTCCTCCCTCACAAGTGATCTGTCGGTGCCTCCAAGGCCAGCTCTCTGCTGGTGTCCTGGATTCCATCCCCTCTCACCTACTTAGAATTCTTGCTCCTGCAGTAACTCCCCTTTCCCTCTGCAGCTCACATTTTCCTTTTTTTTCTGCATCATTTGTATTAGTTTACAATGTGCTGGGACTCACAATAAGATCTGCTTAGAGCTCGACTACTTGGTCCTTTCTGTTCTTTTCACCTCCCAGTTCAAAGCACTTTTATCTCTTAAGAGCCAGGATCCTCTCAGATCCGCAGCAGGCTCAACACTCAAGCCTTAGTGAGATCTTCTTGGTAGTTTTAGCCTTTTTGAGGAAAATAGACTTAGTCTGTCATTGGGCCACTTTTCCCAGGCACACAGAAAAGCCTTGCTCTTCAGTATTGTGTCATTTTGTGGGGTGTAATGAGTCTTTTCTATCCTGCCAGCCAGCTCCCAAATACTGACATGGAGACTTCTTAATTATAAGAGCTTGGGCATTAGCTTAGGCTGGTTCCACTAGCTTTTATAACTTAAATTAACCCATTTATATTAATCTATGTTATGCTACTTGGCGTTATCTCTCTTCCATCTTGCATCTCCTGTTTCCTCTTTATGTCTGGCTTCTCTATGGCCAATTCTGGTCAGCTAGTCACTGGCTCTGCCCTCTGATTCAAGGTATAACTTTACTGGGCAGTCTTGGAAGTGTAAGAGGGTGTTCAAAATATCCCACAATAGTAGGGTTCATGTTAGCCACATTTCTTGCGGAAAGTCAGGCATGTCTTAGAAAGTTCAAGATGTTCTTGGGGGTGCCATCGACACAGGAATCTTTTGCTTATTTATTTTTAATACTTATTGTATTTATTTGATGTGTATAGGTGTTTTGTCTGTGTGTACAGTGTTGGTGGGGGCTGGAACAGAGCATCAGACCCCCTGGAACTAGAGTTATAGACTGTTGTTATCAGTCATGTGGGTGCTAAGGATTGAACCCAGGCCCCTGTAAGAGTAGCCAGTGCTCTTAACCACTGAGCCCTCTCTCCAGCCCTGTTTGTTTGTTTGTTTATTTATTTTTGAGACAGAGTCCCTCTGTTTGTCGCAGGCTGGTCTTGAACTTGAGATCCACCTGCCTCCCAAGTGCTGGGATTAAAGGCGTGTGCCACCCAGTCTACCTTTTTTTCCCCCCCTTTCTCTTTTCTCCTTTTTATTTTTTGATACAGGGTCTATTTATGAAGCTCTAGTTGTCTGGGAATGTGATGAATATCTCCCGTTTCAGTATTCCCCTTAAAAAAAAACATTGAGACACATTTTTTTTTCTTCCCTTACTGTGCATTCTCAAACTGGTTTTCTTCTCCCACTCTTAAAGCAGACTGATATCCAACTCACAGCAATCTTCTTGCCTCAGCTTCCTAAGTGCTGGGATTACAAGAGCACTACAACCTATTTGGATTTACTTAAATTCTTTTTTTTTTTTTTTCTTCCTGAGACAGGGTTTCTCTGTGTCTGTGTAGCTCTGTCTGTCCTGAAACTTGATCTGTAAACCATGTTGGACTCGAACTCACAGAGATCCACCTGCTTCTGCCTCCCCAGTGCTGGGATCCACCACTGTCTGCCTTAAATTCTTCCTTTTCAAACTTTTATTGGTGAGTCTCACATTTATTTTTCAAGAAGAAGTTTCAAGGCATTATGTTAATTTATTTGATTTCTGGATCTTCAACGATAGGGTATAATTATGTAGCTTTGGCTGATCTGGAACTCACTATACCAAGCTGGCCTTGAATTTACAGTAGTCCTCTTGTCTTATCCTCCCACCTGATGGGGATTACAGGCATTTGACACTATATCCGGCTCATAGCATTTTTTTTTTTTTTAATGTTAAAGAGTCCAATAAGAGGAGGAACTGTGTCTGCCTCCTGTGTGCTGGGATCACAGGCCTGTGCCATCACACCTGGTTTATGTGGTGCTGTGGACAGAACCCAGGGCTTTGTGCATGCAAGCCAACACTCTGCCAACTGAGCTGTCTTCCCAGCCCGAAGGCAGACTTTTCTTTCCTGCCATCCAGTTCCCAAATAACCACACGGAGACTTCTTATTGATTGTAAATGTTTGGTCAATAGCTAGACTTGGTACTAATTAACAGTTTAAATTAACCTATTTCTATTCATCTATGTTTTGTCCCAAGGCTTGTTTGCCTCATGTGTGTACTTCCCATCCTGCTCACTCTGCGTCTCCTGGCATCTCCTCAGACTCTACCCTCCTTTTTCCCAGCATCCTCCTAGTTTGGATCTCCTGCCCAATCACTTCCTGCCCAGCAATAGGCCAGTCAGCTCTTTTATTAACCAATGAGAATAATATATATTTACAGTGTACAAAGATTGTCCTACAGCAGCCCCATGAAGTTTCTAGAGTCCCAGGACAGAGGAAAGTACTAGATCAGGGCATTTTTTGATTGTATTTGTGTGGATATCAGGTCAGGCAGGTTTCACAGCATAGCAAAGCTGGGAAGTCACTGCTGTAGATGCTTTCTGTTTTCTTTTTGGTTTTTTTTTTTTTGTTTGTTTGTTTTGTTTTGTTTTGGTTTTTTGAGAAAGGGTTTCACTGTAGCTTTGGAGCCCATCCTGGAGCTTGCTCTGTAGACTAGGTTGCTGCTGTAGATGCTATCTGATGACATGGTTAGCTTTAGCTTGGTGAAAGCTAACAGCAAGTTAATACTTTCCAAAGGTTTTACCTGATATTAAATGGGATATAGGAGGTGGATGCTAATTGACTAAAAGACTAAGGGGCTAAAAATAGCCCAAGATGATCTTAGCCCTGTATCTGCAACATTCCAACTTTTTGAAATCACAGCATTCTAATCTGTTAGCCCTGTACACTCCCACATGGGAGAAAGAGGTTGGAGGAGCTAGAATTCAAGGCTAGCTTGAGAATTTGTTTAATATAGTGAGAATTTGTCTCAAAACAACCAAATTAACTTTCTATGCTTAGTGTGAAGAGAGAGTATTTTGGCTTTATTTTCCAATTCCTTAGTTCAGTTTTCTTAGAGGAGGCCTAATTGTGACATTGATGTATACATGCTGCTTCACTTTAAAAACAAAAACTATATATGAAATAGGATTTTTCTTTATATTTTCTTTCTTTCTTTTTTTTCTTTTTCTTCTTTTTTGTTTTATTTTGTTTTTTTGAGATAGGGTTTGTTTGTGTAGCCCTGGCTGGCTGTCCTGGAACTTGCTCTGCAGACCAGGCTGGCCTTGAACTCACAGAGATCCACCTGCCTCTTCCACATAGCAAGTTTGAGGATAGCCTGGACTACATATTAAGACTATGTCTCAAAATTTTCTTTTTCTTTTTTTATTTTCAAGACAGGGTTTCTCTGTGTGGCTTTGTAGATCAGGCTAGCCTGGAACTCACAGAGATCCACCTGTCTCTGCTTCATGAGTGCTGAGATTAAAGGCATGTGCCACCACCTCCCAGTCTCTCTTTATATTTTCTAACTGGTTAACGTTCTCCTTTTTTTAATTATTTATTTTTTTATTTTATGTGCATTGGTGTTTTGCCTGAATGGATGTCTGTGTGAGGATGCTAGATCCCCTGAAACCTGAGTTATAGTCAGTTGTGAGTTGCCATGTGGGTGCTGAGAATTGAACATAGGTCTAAATATGTAGCCCAGGCTATCCTCAAACTTGTTATGTGGCTACAAATCATTTTGAATTTCTAATCTTCCTCCCTCCACCTCCCAAGTTCTGAAATTATAAGCATGTGCCACTAGCCACGTTTACCTATTAGTGATAATTTTGTGTGTATGGTATTCAAGTATGTTAGGTAAACTCCCAAGGCCTGTGTTATATCCTTAGCTGCTCCCACTTTTTTTGAATCAGACTCTCATTAATTAGCTCAGGAGGGCCTTGAACTCAGGATCCTCCAGCCTCAGTCTCCAGGGTATCTGAGATAACTGTCTGCACCACCAGGCCTGGTTTATTTCTAATTTTTTTTTTTTGTGTATGTGTGTGGTGGGGGCAGGTACAGGCAGGGGAGAAAGACACAAGGCAGTAGCTAAGACTGGAAGCCCTGATTTAGAAAGTCTGGGTTTGAGCTTCAGCAGTGGCTTAATGGTTAAGAGCACTGGCTGCCCTTCCAGAGGATCTGGCTTCTGTTCCATTACCAGCATGATGGCTCATCACTGTCCATTCTCCACACCCCCTTTTGGCTTCAGCAGGCACCAGGCACATTCATGGTACAAAATCCACATACATATAAGATAAACTAAAAGGGAACAAGCAACCTGGACTCAAGTACAGGTCCTAGTTGTTCATCTGTGCTAGGTGCCACTACCTGGCCTTTCTGAGGTTTAAGTTTCTCATTTGCTAGGTGGACTTATCATGCCTTTCTTGTTGGATTGGTGATGTACTTCAACCTGTACTTATTGAAGATCTACTCTGTCTTTTCCTGTCTTGGTGAACAAACTTCAGCTGTGTACTTGGCAGTGAAAGTATAGTGTTGGACAAGATAGACAAGGCCCTTGTGCCATGGAAGCGTCGTTCTAGTGGATCATGAGGATCAGTGGAAATAAAACATTGTAATACCACAATGACTGGAGTCAAGGTTGTAAGGGGCTGCCCTGTTACCCTTTCCTGCCACTGGTAGTGGAAGTGCTGTACAGTGAATGAGCTTAAAACTCTGCTAGAAACAAAACAAACAAAACCCAAAAACCCCTCTGTGAATTTGCTTCACATCATCCAGAGATTTGTTTGGTAGATCTTTGCCTTTGTCCAGATGTTTACCCAAATGTTGAGCACGGAGGCTGAAGAGGTAGTTCAGTGGGTAGACACACTGCTCTTGCAAAGGACCCAGGCTCAGTACTCAGCACCCACATGGTAGCTCAAATCCATCCGTAACTTCTGTTCAGATAGTAACCTTATGGTGCTCTGAAAGAAAATGGCCCCCACAGGGAATGGCACTATTAGGAGGTGTGGTCTTGTTGGAAGAAGTGTGCCATTGCAGAGGCAGGCTTTGAGGGTTCATATATGCTCAAGCCATGTCCAGGGAGACAGTCCACTTCCTGTTGCCTTCTGATCAATATGTAGCCAGCATCATGCCAGCCTGCATGCCACCTGCCATGAAGATAATGGACTAAACCTCTGAACTGTAAGCCACTACCTCAATTAAATGTTTTTCTTTATAAGAGTTGCTATGGTCATGGTGTCTCTTAACAGTGTTAGAGACCCTAACTAAGACAATCCTTTTGTGACTTCTGTGGGCACCAGACGTGTATGTGGTACACATGCATACCATATGTTGGCAAAATACTCACACACGCATAAAATAAAATGAGTGACTCTACCCTCACTCCCTGCCAAGAAACCCCTCAGTGTTGAGAATCAAGCTCCACATGAGACATGCTTCATTCTGACACCCACCATTTACTCAACAATGACACTTAAGGCTGTAATTGTTTCTCTGGCAACAGATCCTTTCATCATGAAGGCAGGCTTACAGAATCGATTGATTGGTTTTGTAGCCGTGAGATACTTTGTCAAGAGCACCCTAGAAAAACTGTGTTTTTGCTATTCCTCTGACCTACCCTGTGGTGACTAAATCGAGATGCTAGGATGTTGCAAATGAGCAGTAGTGGCAGTAATGTAAAGGAGGAAGGCAGTTTATGCTCCGCCGTAGTGTCTGCTGGTGTCCCTTGGATATGGGACCTCAGGCAGTGCAGTCTCGGATCTATAGCCTCATCCTTTGGGCAGGTGTTGCTATCTGAGAGAAGCACCTGATGGTTCTTCCCGCTTTCCCTGCCTCAAGAGCCCTAGTTTCTAAGCCTTTTACATCTTTGTAGGATGTGGGCTCTCTAGATGAGAAGATGAAGAGCTTGGATGTGAACCAGGACTCGGAGCTGAAGTTCAACGAGTACTGGAGACTGATTGGAGAAGTGGCGAAGGAAATCAGGAAGGAGAAAGCCTTGGAAATCCAGAAGAAGTAAAGCCTGCTTGTTGGGATGGGGACCCAGCATGGCCTGCTGGGCAGAGCCAGGCAGAACTCCACTCCCCTTAATAAAGCTTTCTTCTTGAAACACAGATTTCTATTCAGATTTCTTTTTTTTGAGACTAGGGAATGGGGAAAGCTCTGTTTTTACCTGAGTTGAAAAAATGAAAATTGTAAGCACTTTGAAGGCAAGGGATGTGATTGATCTTCAAATATCCCACAGCATCTAGCATCTTACTAACTATGTGATTTTTTTTTTTTTCCTTTCTCATTTCCTCTGGTGTTGAGGACAGAACTCTGGGCCTTGAGCACATGTGGCATATCAATAGGTCTTTTCTTTCTTTCTTTCTTTCTTTCTTTCTTTCTTTCTTTCTTTCTTTCTTTTTTGAGACAGGGTTTCTCTGTATTGCTTTAGAGCCTGTCCTGAAACTATCTCTGTAGACCAGGCTTGGACTCGAACTCACAGAGATCTGCCTGCCTCTGCCTCCAGAGTGCTGGGACTAAAGGTGTGCACCATCAACGCCTGGCTTAGCAATAGGTCTTGCATTAAATAGGTGCTCAATACATAGTGATGAGTGAAAAATATGGAGAGTTGAGGCAGGCAGCTCCTGGGGCTCAACTCCATGGCTCGAGCTCCTAGCTTCCCCCATAAAACTCCTGGAGTTTGTTCTTTGGCTGGTAATGATCATAATGAATGCCTACTTAACATTTTACCCATATTCCTCTAGTTAACTGTCACAGCAGTTAAGGTTAATTAATTCAATTAATGTTTGCAGTGTTGAGGATTGACCTAAGATCTTGCATGTTAGACAATTGAGAGGAGTCACCCCCCCAGCCCTCCTTTAGCTTTTTTTTTCTTTTTGTGTTGTGTTTTAATAATTTATTTATTTTTATTTTATATGCATTGGTGTTTTGTCTGCATGTATCTCTGTGTAAGGGTGTCAGATCTTAGAGTTCCAGACAGTTGTGAGCTGCCATGTGGGTCCTCTGGAAGAGCAGTCAGTGCTCTTAACTGCTGAGCTGTCTCTCCAGCCCCCTTGTTATTGTTTGAAGATAGAGTCAACTTTGCAGGTGCCGGGGTAACAGGTGCACTACTGCTCCTGGCTTTGAGGAAACATTTTTAGGGAGGTTAGGTTACAAAGACAAGAATTGCTAGAACTGGCCTGGAGAAGTGCTGCTCAAATATGACAGGGAGAGGGAGCTGTGGTAGTACAGGGAGCTTAGGGACAGAGTTGTTCTCACTCTGCATTCTCCGACTTGAGGGGCAAGTGGTTTGTACAACTCACCACTAGAGAGAGTAGGGGTGTGGCAATGATGTAAGCCTCTTGGGCTGTCACTGCTGTAACTGTGAGTGTCCACTTGGGGCAGCTAGTCAACCAGAGGAAAATCAGCAGAGACAGATTCCCCATCTCAGGCCAGGAAAGAGGCTCCAGAGGTACCTCAAAGGGATCGCTGGGCTCTCTGACGTTGGCAGAGGCATTTGAGAGGCTTCCAGACTCCTCAGTGGGAACTCCCGGCTGAGAGACGCTGAGAAGCCCTCTGATGGTGAGACCTTTGAAGGGTCTCCATACAGAAGCCCTTCAGAGGAGCTCTCCAAATGAGACTGTTGTGGAAGAGTCCCCAATTGAGACCTGAAATACAGGGCACCTCCAGCAGGAAGACCATTTGGATAGATGCTCTGATTTCAGAGTTAGGAAGGCAATTCTGACTCTAGGCCCATGCAATCCTTCTACTGACCTCTCAGCCCTTCCACCATGGTCTGTCCTTGCCCATGAGTTTAGGTCCTAGGTCCTGGGCAGGTGAGGAGGGCTAGTTGGGTTGGTCACAGTGCCAGGAGTTTGGTTTAGGCTCCCCCCTGGGGTTCCTGGGTAGTAGATTGGAGGGCTGGTATTGACATGTTATTAAGGGGTTGGAGGGAGGGAGGAGGTGGCAGCCCAACCAGTTTGGAGAGGTTGTTACCTGCCAGGCAACTCCTTTGAGCCTTGCACATGGGTGCCCTGGGCTGCTGCAAGGTGCTGGCAGGGCATCAGGGAAGGCTCAGTGCGTTCCCAGCGTCAGGGTGCACAGCTCTGACCTTCCCTTCTACCTTTTCACCTCCATGCTTCAGGACTGGGAAAGGCCTGGCTCTGGGTTTCATCAGGCCTGAGCGTTACTAGCCAAATCAGCTCTGGTTAGGAGGGAGAGGAGATAGGAAAGTCAAAGCCCAGAGACCCTGGGGGTCTCTTTCAAGCCCCTCATCCCACAACCCCACCTTGATCAGCCTTTGCTTCTCGTGCAGACTCTCTCTGCTTCCCTGCCTCATAGCTGCAACAGGTTCCTACTCTCCTAGGTGAAATTCCTTCTGCATCTCCTTGCCTTCCTTCTCTTCTCCCCCTGGGACTCTGGAAGGTGATCTTGTGCCAGGGGTATCCCATACCCAGCCCTCCATGGCTTCCTCCTCACCGTAGGGGTGGGGACTGACTCTAGAAGTGTAGAGGGTGGGGCTCACAAAGCTGGCTCCCAGCCCAGGAGGCTGCAATAGCTGGGGTGGCTGAGGGATAAGGCCCTGGCCCTGCCCCTGGCTTCTCCTCCCTTCCCCCAGGTATAAGAGCTGAGCCAGCGCAGGTGAGCTGGCTCCTCCATCCCGTCTCTGCAGCTGCCAGCAGGTAAGAAAGTCCAGCGCCTTCAACCGAGGTGGGCATCTCTCTTCAGGGAGTACCCCAAGCCTCTCATGCCCGAGTCTCACAGGGGTGGCTGGAGGAGGTGGGAAGAATGAAGCGCAGGCGGGGCCCAGGGGGATTCCCTCTGAGTGGGTTGGCCTAGGAGCTATGACTTTAGCAGGGCAGGGACGGATGGGATCTGTGTGAAGTAGACTCCAACTGCTTAGGTGAAGGTGTATGTTGGGTACAGCCAAAAGCGGCCATGAAGAAAAGAAAGATGAGCTCTCCCCTCACCTCAAGCCTCTCCCTTCTCTAGGCAGATCATGAGCCATCAGCTCCTGTGGGGCAGGCTATAGGACAGACGACAAAACTAACTCACAGAAGGCACCATGGGACAGTGTCGGTCAGCCAATGCCGAGGTGGGCCCATTTATCTGGCTGGTCTTTCTGTTCTTATACTCTTCTCTTCTCATTATGAGGGTTCATGCCCCCAATGACTTCTGCTTCTTTTCTAGGCCTTGCCCTGTAACTACTGCCAGAAAGTCCCAAATCCCCTCCCTCCCTTATTCCTACACAGAGTGATGCAAATGGGGTTCTTCTGGAAATAGGATGTCTGGGCACATGCTGGGGCCTGCCCTGCCTGGGATTTGGGGTGGTTACCTAATCTGTGGCTTAGGGCAGAGGCCACTGTGGCCTGGAGGATGGGCTAGGGGAGAGGGAAAAGGGGCAGGATTCTGGGCTCTGGAGTGTCTTCTAGCTGCTTTCTATCTTGTTGATTTTCCAAGGCTCCTGAGAAGGATTTTGTAGGATGGGTGGGCCTTCATGACATGGGTTGTGTCTGCTATCTTCAGGATGCTCAAGAATTCAGTGATGTAGAGAGGGCCATTGAGACCCTCATCAAGAACTTCCATCAGTACTCTGTGGAGGGTGGAAAGGAAACACTGACCCCTGCTGAACTACGAGATCTGGTTACCCAGCAGCTGCCACACCTCATGCCGGTACTGAGGGAGTGGACCCCACCCCATCCAGACCCCTGACTTCCCAAGCTAGTGCTCCAGGGTTCATTGGAGCTGGCACTGGTAACCCTGCCTTTCCCTCTTGCCAACACCTGGTAGGCTCCTGTCCTCCTACTCGCCCCAGGCCAGGGTGGGGCAGGAAGATCTAGAGGTACTGTCTTGCTGAGTTGTTGTGTCTTTCCTGTCTTCAGAGCAACTGTGGGCTAGAAGAGAAAATTGCCAGCCTGGGCAACTGTAATGACTCGAAGCTGGAGTTTGGAAGCTTCTGGGAGCTGATTGGAGAAGCAGCCAGGAGTGTGAAGATGGAGAGTCCTGTCGCTCGGAGCTGAGGACCTCTTCTTGGAACTTGTTGTGGGTGTTGGGGGCAGGGGATTTTAGAGGCCCTGGGCCTGGAAATAAAACTTCTCTCTACCCCTACCACCCCATTCCCCAACCTGCACCTCTTCTCATATCTGTAGGGTCTAGGCTCAGGACAGCCTTCCCTGTGGGCTCTGTGAACTCATCTGGGATGCTCTATGGAGCTCCCGGGTCAGGAAGTTCTCATCCCAGGGGAGCTCAGGGGGTGGGTTGGGGCTGGAGAAGATATGCAGGGATCCTGGTGGGGTAAGGGCCAAGCCCTTGGTAGTAGGGGAAGGGCAGTAAGGAACTGGGCTGTGGGAAGTGATCTGAAGAATGGGGCTGGGAAGCTGGCTGGATACTTGATTCTGGAAAGGGTGTCTGAGAACCTACCCCTTCTAATCTTGTCCAACTTAAACTGAAACTCTCTGCCTTGTGCCATCCTTGCTGCTTTCAGCTCTGCCCCACCCTCCTTCCAGGGTCTGTCTCTGAGTAGGAGCAGGGAAAGCAGGAGCTGAGTTGCAAAAGAGGCTGAGCAGGATGTTACTTCAGGACTTTGGGGTGAGAGGACCAGCTAGGTGCTTGGGCATTTCTGGATGATAGCTATTTTATAATATTTGATTAATAAAAATATTGGAAAAAAGTAAAATATGTTGTCTTGACTGTTCATCTCCTCTGCCCAATATTCAGGGTCCAGGGATGAGGGGTTCTTTGGAGCAAATGGCAGAGTCATTTGTGGGTGGGAGATGTGACGATGGAGTGGTTGGCAGTGGAAGAGATTAGGAGCTCACTTCTCTCCTTGGACTTGGGTTGAGGGTGGTCCCAGTCTTAAAAGTTAGAGAAGGTATTCCTCTCAGAGAGAACGGCTCCTTCTTGCCTGGGCTGGTCCTCTGATAAGAGATGAAAGCATGTAGGCATACCTAGGGAAAGGGATGAACCATGTGTCCTGGGGCACAGCTGACTAATGTCAAGGGAAATAGGCACCGAGAAACAGGTTGCCTGGCTGGAGTTTGGATCTCAACTCTGCCACTTATGACTTTGAATTCTGGGTACTCTCTTATAGTGTGTTTCCTCATGGGGATGTGAATAGTCCTCTCACAGGAGAAGGATGTGACACGTGAAGTACTTACTGGAAAGCCAGAATCCGTGAGTAGAGAGTAATAAAAATGAGGACATTGATATGGTGGCGAAGGTTTTTATTGTAGATATGAGGGAGAGAGCAGCCAGAGGCATCTGGAAGAGTCCAGACTGAACAGGGCCAGCAGAATAGACCCGGCCATGAAAGGAGAGAGAGGGGCAAGGGAGGGGACCAGGAAAGGTGAGGATCAAGAGGACAAAGAAGGACCAAGAGAGTGAGCCTGAGGCAAATATGGCAGGTTATATAGGAATCATAAGTGGGGGAAGGAAAGCAAAGCTCAGGGGCTGGAGAGGTTTAGGGTGTGACATGGGGGGTGAGAAGTACTGAGAGGAGCCAGGGCTCTATCAAGTACTTGCGATGAGAGAGCCTGGCTTTGGTAGGCTAAATAGGCTACAGTTAGCCATGTGTCTGGGGGTTTCTTTGAGATCTGACATTTCAGTCTTTTTGTTGATGATAAGGGGCAATGTAATCTCTTCTGTAACTGCTTCTTAGTTGAAATTGGGGCATTGGTGTTGGGGGCCCTGGAAGGCTGGAAGGTTGGCTGAAGGCTGGGAAGAGAAGAGTACAAGCTGGAGGACTGTCTGTTTTGCTTAGAGCTCAGGTTCTGAGGGGCCACCTGGGGCTGGAGCGTTGCAGGCAGTTTTGGAGCAGCCTGCACTCTTCAGCTTGATTGGAAATCGTCTGGGGCAGGTATAGACTAGGGACAGAAGGTGAAGTTAAGGAGCTTAGGGGACATTTTATCTTGGGTGTACATTTGAAACTTCCAGGCCCATGATGCTGGTAGTTGCAGTGGTAGTAGAGGGAGAGGTGGGGGTGGGGGTGGGGGGTAGGGAGGGGTAGGTACCAAGAGCAGTTGAGAGAGAGAAATCCCACCCTTAGGAATAGGCAGGTAGAGAAACTTAGGCTGTTGATTGACAGAACTACTTATCTGGAGTCTGTTTGACCTGTGAGAAGTGGATCCAAGTCTCACGACTCCCTGAAGCTTACAAGAACATTTTAAGTTTATAGATAAAAGTTTTATATATATTAGCATTATCAGTCTTTGTAATCTGTACTAAAATACACATTGTAGAAAAAGCAGTTGACTCTCGCCTTCAAGTTACAGTAAAAGCTTGGGAAGTCCCTAAAAATGATTCTGAGTTAAAAGCACAAACATGCTTCCTCTATCCAGAAGACTGGGTGTATAGAGATTGGACAGATGGTTTTAACACAGTTAGAAGCACTTTTAAATCCATACTTAGAAAACAACCAGCCAGGTGGTGGTGGTACAAGCCTTTAATCCCAGCACTCCAGAGGTAGAGGCAGGTGGATCTTCATGAGTTTGAGGCTAGTCTGGTCTACAAAGGGAATTCCAGGACAGCCAGGAATGTTATCTAGAGACACTCTCCCTGTCTTGAAAAACCAAAACCCAAGCCAAACAGAATCAAAACAAAACACCATCTTAGACCCTCACAACTAACTTAAGCTTTCACATCCTCAGACCTTTACAATTTGTGCTTGCATAGCCTTCAATCACTTTCCCAGACCCTCACAATGTACACAAACTTCAAACCTTTCTTTCCACCCAGTCATTTACTATGAGACAGACACACATGGTTGGTTCCTGAGAGCAGTCATTGCAAAGCAAGCTCCTTTAAATAAAGGAATAGTAAAAAGTTACACTGAAACCTGTTTTCAGTGTGAAGTCAGCCAGGAAGGTAAAGTCTGTGCCTACTTTTCTCAGTAGGAGACCTAGTAGCTCATTTCATATGAAATGGACTGACCAGGCAGCTGTAGCTGTAGGGAAGGAGCTAGTTTGCTTGCTGCTGTTAACATAAAGCTACAGTTAGTCATCAACAGTATCAGAGACTTGAGAGGGATAAATTACAGCAGGAAGTTAATCCAGATGGCCCTGTACAAGTTAAAATGATAGACTTATTGGCTACCTAGATGGTTAGCCTAGATGCTCCATGGTGGTCTTGATGGCTTTGTTGGGGACAGAAGTATTTGGTCTTTGGCTGTCACACAGGGCAGCATTAAATCTTCAGCTACCACACAGGACAGCACTGGCCTTTGACTGCTAGACCCAGAGACCTGAGAGATTTTCCTGTGGAGGAGGAACTGGGAAAACTGTCCACAGTTTCGGCAGAGCCCTGGTGGTGGGTGAGGCATGGGTCAGTTCTTTGCCCAGTGGTTAGTGTTACAACTGTCTTATCATAGGAAGTTTTTTCCATTAAACATTTTAAGTGCCATATTCAGCAGATCTCTGAGGAGTTTGAGGACCATCATCTATTAAGTATATCTGAGTTAAGAAAACTTGTTTTTAGTTATTTGCTTTAGGCTTAGCCTTGAAAATCATTTACAGGAGGCTAAGTAAAGCTTGTCCCTGTAAAATTATGTTTGTACTTAACATGGCTTATGAGCATAGTTTTGAGTACACTATAGAATTTGATCATTTATAAGGTGGCTGACCATTAACTTGAATGTCTTAATTTAACAGTGTACAACAAGTTAGTACTTTCTATAAGATCAGGATTTTTACCATTTTATCCCTGTTAAGTTTGAGCCTTAAAAGTTGGAGATTAAGAAACTCTAGCATCAAAATAAAACTTTAAACTGTAAATAAAATCTGCAGAGGGAACTGTAAAATCTGTAAAGGGAACTTTACAAAACCATAAATATAGTTTAAGGGGGATTGGCAATCTTATTTTCTTCATTCTTTTGTTGTTGTTGTTGGTTTTTTTTTTTTTTTTTTTTTTTGAGATGGGGTTTTTCTGTGTAGTTTTGGCTGGAACTCACTCTGTAGACAAGGCTGTCCTTGAACTCACAGAGATCTGCCATCTGCCTGCTTCTGCCTCTTGAGAACTGGGTTTAACAGTATGCTTAATCCTGGCTTTTTGATCCTTTATAGCAAATGATTACAGAATCAGTTTCTTGTATGAATCAGTTTATTCCAGAAGATAAAGCTTAGAAAAGTTAGCAAAGACAAAGAGGTGAGACAGACATCTGCAAGTCAGCTACTGTTAGCCTGAGTAAATCTTAGGAATTTATAAACCTTATTTATCAAGTACACATTACTTATCAAACATGTTGTTTATTATTTAAAATGTCTTAGGAAGTCTGCCATCGAACAGTTAGCAAAGACATAAGTGGTTAGACTTATGTCTCTAAAGTCAGTTTCTGTTAACCTGGGTCGACCTTTATGACCTCAGGAATTTATTATCACATAAAAATCCATCCTAATCCAAAATATTCTGGAGACCTGATGTTGCCTCCTTAGTCTAAAAAGGAGATAGAATGATAAGCAGAGGGCTCAGTAGACAAAGAAGTTTTATATCTGCCTTAGTTGGTTTATACCATGTGGTCACCCTAATCAAGATGGTGGTGAAGTTACATCACGTGTGCTTTCCTCTTTTCTTTTTTTATTCCGAGACAGGGTTTCTCTTTATTGCTTTGGAGCCTGTCCTGAACTAGTTCTGTAGAACAGGTTGGCCTCGAACTCAGAGATCGGCCTGCCTCTGCTTCCTGAGTGCTGGGATTAAAGGCTTGTGCTCTCTTTTAACCATGGTAAAAATGGCTGCCAGACACATGGTTCCTTCCATCCAGATGAGGTAATCAGCCAAGGTGAAGGTGAGCCGCATGGCTGCTGTTGAAAACATCTATTTTTTTTTTTTTAGTAGATCTATTATTTTTTTAAACATGAGTTGAATCAAAGTTTTATATATATAGTATTGAAAGGATGAAAATACAGCTTAACTCTCTAATGACCACTAAAAGTTAGAAATTTAGAAAAAATATATCAGCATGTATTTAAAAATCACCCTAGCTGCATGCAAAGCTCAGGAAAAAAGAAAAACACATGAAATAGCTTGGTCACGATGACAGGCTTCTGGAAATTATTATTATTATTCATAACCACCTAGTTTCTGAAGAATGTTGTTATCCACAACAACAGTCTGGGAACTGTTATGG